GAAACACACTTATTAAAAATACTAAATTACAACATATCCTGATTAATTTGCATAAGTGAGTGACTGACATCAAGGAATATGAAAATTAGTAGCCTTGCTTCAACAAAAACCTTCACAAACAGATAGACGGCATTAAAATATGAATATTTGTAATTAGTAAACACAGCCAACAGTGTGGTTCCTCCACTGGGGTTTGTATAACCTCCCTTCTTGAAACAAAATGAACTTTTCATATATAATTTTCAATAACTGTAACTATGTTAGGAAGTAGGTACTCAAAATATTTTAAAGATAGATTGTGCCCAGATTTATTTTGGAGATTATGGGGCAAACTAGGAAACCATGTTAGAAAAGCTTACCTAAATTGCAGACACCTGTGCCCTAAACTGAACCTGCTGAATAGGACTCTCTGGGAATGGATCCAAGCTTATATATCTCCAATAAGTTCCCTTCCATGTCTTATGAACACCAGAGTTTGAGAACCATTTTTCCAGAAAATAAAGTCCAACTTCTTAGCCATGCATCTAGAGGCCCACAGTGGCCCCAGCCTGCTTGCTGTTCTTGTCTTCATCAGCCCTGAAATGGAAATGACGTAGTTTCAGAGACTTCCCCTCTGCTCATTTCCATGGCTCAACCCAGCACCCAGCATAAGGGAGATGTCCAGGAAGTGTTGACCCAACTTCTATCAGCAAGGTACCCAACTCTGACTCACCTCTGCATTCTGGACATGCAGTTGCCTGCACTTTTCTTTTTGAAATTTCTTTTCTGTCCCTCCCATCAAATGCTTATTGATCCTTCATTCTGAGTTTAAACATTGTGTCCTTTGTTACAACTCCTATATCCTTTTTGTGTGACTTACCACATTTTTTTATATTTATTTACTTACACATTTCCCTCTTTAAAAGGGAAGCTCCATGAGGATTTGAGACTATCTCATTCTTTTTTCTTTTATTTCCCTTTGTCATTCTTCAGATAAAATTTATGGATTACTTTTTCATTTATTTTTTTTGAGGTAACACTGATTTATAACATTATGTGATTTTCATATATACATCATTATATTTCTACTTCTGTGTACCCTACAATGTGCTCACCGCCAAAATTTAGTTTCCATCTCTCACCATGGGCTTCCCCGGTGGCTCAGTGATAAAGAATATGCCTGCATTGCAGGAGACACAGGTTCAGTCCCTGGGTCCAGAAGATCCCTTGGAGAAGGAAATGACAACCCACTGCAGTATACTTCCTGGAGAATCCCATTACAGAGGAGCCTGGTGGGCCACAGTCTATGGGGTCACAAGAGTCAGACACAATTTAAGCAACTAAACCACAACCCACCACCACCATATAGTTTATCCCTTTAACCCATTGTGACCCCTTTCCCCAACCCTCCCCTTCTAGTAACTACTACTCTCATTTCTATATCTGTGTGTTTGTTTTGGTTTATTCATTTATTTTGTCTGTTTTTAATTAGTTTTTTGTATTCCACACATGAATAAAATCATGCTGTATTCTTCTTCCTCTGTATGACTTATTGCACTTAATGTAGTACCCTCAAAGTCCATGGCAAATGACAAGATTTCATTCTGTTTTGTGGCTAATATTTCATTGTGAATATATATGTTCAATCATATCTTCTTTATTCATATATTGATGGACACTCTGGTTGTTTCCATATCTTGGCTATAGTAAATAATGCCACATTGAACATAGGGGGTGCGTATATCTTTTTAAATTAGTGTTTTCATATTCTTTGGATAAATACTCACAGAAATGAAATTGCCGAGTTATACAGTAGTTCTATTCTTAATTTTTTGAGGAATCTCCATATTGTTTTCCATAGTGGCTATATCAACTTACATTACCACCAACAGTGTGTGAGAGTTCTCTTTTCTCCATAATCTCACCAACACTTGTTATTTCTAGTATTTTTTTTTTATTAGTTGGAGGCTAATTACTTTACAGTATTGTAGTGGTTTTTGTCATACATTGACATGAATCAGCCATGGATATACATGTATTCCCCATCCCGATCCCCCCTCCCACCTCCTTCTCCACCCGATCCCTCTGGGTCTTCCCAATGCACCAGGTCCGAGCACTTGTCTCATGCATCCAACCTGGGCTGGTGATCTGTTTCACCCTAGATAATATATTTCTAGTATTTTTTATAATAGCCAGCCTAACAAGCATGAAGTGATTTTAACCTTGTGGCTTTGATTTACATTTCCCTAATAATTAGTGATACTGAACATCTTTCCATGTACCTATTGGTCACCTGTATGTCTTTGGAAAAGTGTCTTCATCTCCTCTGCTCAGTCTTTAATTGGGTTGTTTGTTTTGTGTTATTGTTGAATTATATAAGCTCTTTATATATTTTGGATATATATATTTGCTTTATTGGATATATCATTTGCAAATATCTTCTTCCATTCTGTAGCTTGTCTGTTCATTTTGTTGATGGTTTCCTTTGCTGTCCAGAATCTTCCTAGATTTATGTAATCCAATTTTTTAAATTTGCTTTTGTTTCCCTTGCTTGAGGAGGCTTAGCTAGAAAGATATTTCTAAGACCAATGTCTAAGCAATGTTGGCAAACATAGGTGTAATGCCTCTATTTTCTTCTTCTAGAAGTTTTATGGTTTCAAGTTTTACATTCAAGTCTTTAATCCATTTTGAGTTGTTTTTTGTGTATGGTATAAGATAATAAGCTTCCCAAGTGGCTCAGTGGTAAAGAATCCACCTGCCAATGCAAGAGACATGGGTTCAATCCCTGGGTTGGCAACATCCTCTGGATAAGGAAATGACAACCCCCTCCAATATTCTGGCCTGGAAAATCCCATGGGCAGGGGAAAATCCACAGACAAATCCCGTGGACTGACAGGCTACAGTCCATGGGGTCACAAAAGAGTCGGATATGACTTAGCAACTAAACAACAACAATAAGATAGTGATCTCGTTTCATTTTTTTGCCTGTAACAGTCCAGTTTTTCCAACACCATTTATTGAAGAGACTATCCTTTCCCCATTGTATGTGCTTTGCACCTTTATCCAAATTAATTGTCCATATGTGCATGGGTTTTTCTGCCTATACCATACTGTTTTGACTACTGTGGCTTTGTGATATAGTTTAAAATCAGGGAGTGTGATACCTCCAGCTTTGTCTCCCCACCCCCATCAGGATTACTTTGGCTATTCAGAGCTTTTTGTGGTTCCATATAGACTTTAGAAGTTTTTGCTCTATATCTGTGAAAAACATTCTTGGGATTTTAATAGGGATTGCACTGAATCTGCAAATTTCTTTAGGTAATATGAACATTTTAATTATGTTAATTCTTCCAGTCCGTAAACTTGGAGTATCTTCCTATTTATCTGTGTCTTCTCCAGTTTCTTTCTTTCAACAATATCATGTAGTTTCCAGTGTACAAGGGACTGTCTCATTCTTGCATACATCATTCCCCATTCTGATACCTTCTCCACTCTTCTTTCCCTCCCTTTTCTCAGTCTCTGGAACATGTAATAAGAGTTTGGGGATGTGTGAAAGCAGTTGAGGATGAACCAACCTGGAAGAAGATAATAGAAAGAGTTTAAAATCTTTTTATACTCTTCAAGTCCAATTAAAATGGAGAAACAGAGTTTCATTCTTAATTCTGACTAGAAATATTTATATACCTGAGACTAAACCGAGACTTCACTATATTTTTTTTGTAGGCTGTGTCCTTAGATTTTATTTTGAAAACGTTCTTAACTTTGGAAAATCTGATTCTTAGACAGGTACCTTTTAAATATGTCCCTTAAAATGACCTTACAACTCTCAACATGATAAAACTATTTTTTAAGTAGTGGTTTTTTAAATCCTGGAAATATTAACTACATATAATGTTTTTCAATTTTATTATATAATTGTTATGTAACAATCTCCTGTAATACGCTGGTTTTTTAAATTAACATTTCCCTTATCCTTGTGTTAAGGATAGCACATTTTTAGCTGACAAAATATTAGTACCGACATGTTAAAAGACTTGCCTAGAAGCATATGTGAGTGCAGTTAACCCCAAGCTTCCTGTCTTCCTCCCATTCTTGAATGCAGAAACCCACCTCTCTGACACAAGATACCCTGATCCACCCCCAAAGCTGGAATTGTCCCACTGAACCACATATAAAACCTCCTACCTTTCCTCTGTCTAGCTGCACCCTCTTCCCTGCTCCCCAGCTTGCTCTCTCGTCTCCTAGTTTGAATGACTCAGCTGAGGTCTTCCTTTGGCACTGCTAACCTTGTCTAGCCCAGAGTACAGTTTTCTGGCCTAAACAGATACCATGGTTAGAAATCTTCCCTCAAAATATTTTTTAATAACAGTGGGGTCTACATGGATTAGCTATAGATTTTGGTGATTTCCGTGGCTCACTGGGAATTTTTTGATTGGTTTCTCTTAGGGTCAAGAGGAAAATACAGAAAAGGTTGCTTACTTTTATATCTGATTTTTATGTCTGTAACTTGAAGCTTGTGTTGTCCATATGGACAGCTTTTTCAGAATCAAGAAATAAATTGAAATTTTAGATGTCGCCATATTCATGGATGTTTCTCACATCATCACAGTATTAATAATAATAATTTGTTGAGCACTTCTGTTTGCCAGGCACTTTACAGAAATTACCTCTTTCTACCCTTACAAAAGCCCTGTGAATTCAAGGCTGATACTCTCCCATCACACAGAAGTAATACACATGGCCCAAACAGACACAATCTTTCCTAGGGTCACACATTTATACAGCAGAGTAAAGTGTAGCACTGAGTGGTCTGGCTCCTGAGATTTTGTGTTAACTTCTACATCTCATATCAAAAACCCCATTTTCCATTTTTAGAAATGAGTTAGCAATTTAAAAATTATTAAAAAATAAAGAGAATGTTGTCTGAAAGGATCTCTAGAGCATCTTGATTAGCTTGAATTTGCAATGTGTCCTACATTTCTGGATGGTTTTTCAAATGTTTACTGTACTTTAATTTGCAGGCCCAAAAAGCTAATATTAAAGGCTTTCAAACAATATTGGTTTGTCTTTAAAGACACATCTATAGCCTACTTTAAGAATAAGGAGCTTGAACAAGGAGAACCAGTTGAAAAATTAAACCTTAGAGGTAAGAGGGTCCAGTATCTCAGTATGGCTTGACATGGCCCATCAAAAGGGTGAAAGCATGTTCACCCAGTGAAGCATGTTCACTCCCAGAGAAACCTCTGTCTGTCATGGGCTGTCAATGGCCACCTGCCTGAAGCTCCTCCTCCCCATGAAGTATGAACCTGGAATGCAAATCAGTGAAAAAACAATCATTTATTATGCCGTCCCTTCTTTCCCAGTGTGTCCAAGTCTCTGATGTGATGGTAATTGTTGTCATAAATATAAGACATGAGACATTGTTGGATCCTGTAAAGCTTTCTGAATTCCAAAACAATTAAGTTTAATTCAATGTCACGTTTGGGCTTTATTTCTGAAAGTGGCTGTGAGTGTCCTGGTAACTCATTAACTAAAAATTTAATTAACTAGTGCACTCAATTCCCTTATCATTGTGACAATCAGAGAATTCCCTCCTTTAATTCTTTCAAAGTTTATGTTCAATAACTGATCATATGAGTTAGCCAAATTAGCCTGAAAAGGAAATCAATCGATGATGTATTTAAGAAATCCATAAAATAAAATATTTTTATTTATCCATGCTAAGTTCATAACTTACCTAGTAATCATTTAATTCAGCCATCCCTAGTCTTTTGGCACCAGGGACTAGTTTTATGGAAGACAGTTTTTCCACAGATTTTGGGTGGGGGGGGTGGTTTTGGAATGATTTCATCACACTACATTTATTGTGCACTTTATTCCTATTATTGTTACATCATCTCCACCTCAGCTCATCAGGTATTAGATCCCAGAGGTTAGGGACCCCTGCTTTAATTAATGTTATCAGCCTGCTCTTCAGTATTTCAGAAGAGAGTCAAATCTGAGGAGTTTATGTTCAAATTCTTTGTTTTTAGATGCACATCTGATATTTGTCTAAGAGATTTCTCAGAGCTCAGTTCTTTCCCTGCCTTCTGTCATCCAGGTTGTGAAGTTGTGCCAGATGTAAATGTAGCAGGGAGAAAATTTGGAATCAAATTACTAATCCCCGTTGCTGATGGTATGAATGAAGTGTATCTGAGATGTGACCATGTAAGTAAAATCACTTCACTTTTATGAAGCCTCGAGACAAACCATCCCAGTTGTTTTCTCAAATCAGAGCACTCATCAGTCAGCTCCTGCTTTGTAACAATCACAAAAATCATAAAGATACACACCAGCAAGCATTTTGCCAGATGACTAGGGATTGGATGATTCAGGCTGTGGGCAGCTGGACAGATCTGCTCCAAGCCATCCACCTGGCTCAGCTGGCTCTTTTCCACTGGCTGAGCTCATGGGCTTTACTTTGGGCTCCAGGCTGCCTGAGGAGGCTCTTCTCATAGTGATGGCAGAAGTGCCAGAAGGAAACTGGGAATGTGTGAGACCTCCTAACACTTAGGTTTGGAGTCAGTTGGTAGGTACACTGTCATTTCCACCCACACTCTGTTGATTAAAGCACATCCATTGCCAGGCTGAAAGTCAAAAGATGGGAAATTACACTCTGGCTCTGATGGGAGGGACTGTAAAATTACACGGCTAGAGATGTGGATGCAAGGAGGGTGATGACTGAGGCCAGTGACTCAGTGAACCACACCTACTGTTGCCCTGAAGAATTAATTTCCCTCTTTAACCACATCCCCTTGACTTCTGGGACCACTCCCCCTTTGCTCCCTGAGGTAGCAAATGAGCACAGACATTAAAGAACAGTAGAAGCCACAACTAGCTGGTTCACATCCACCAATGGACCTGATTCCTAGCATAGGATTAGAAGCTTTGCTAAGGACAGGCCGGGGGAGAAATAATATGAGAAGTCAGTTAATGATTTTTCCTCACTGTCTTCTGTCATAGAGATAAGACTTGATATGAAAACGGGACTATGCATCAAGGGCGTGCTCCAGTAGTTTGAGTTTTCACCTCTGTGCTCTGAGAAGCTCATGTCCTTGGTTCATTTTTAAATGAGAAGTTCTCCACACAGGATTTCTCAAAGTCAACATTCCTGTTCCTTAGCCTCTTGGTATCTAGAAACTCAACACAGGACTCAAAAGCTTTCATATGATGTTAAATTAGGTGATTAATAACAGTTCAAATGCATGCCACCCCACATCATCTAGAATGATAGTCCAAATCCTTCTCTGTTCCCAACATGGCAGCTTTATACTTGAACTTGCTTCTCAGCCCTCTGGTATTTCTTGCAGGAGAGTCAGTATGCCCAGTGGATGGCTGCCTGCATCTTGGCATCAAAGGGCAAAACCATGGCAGACAGCTCCTACCAGCCAGAGGTCCTCAACATCCTTTCTTTTCTGAAGATGAAAAACCGGAACTCAGCATCTCAGGTGGCTTCTGGTCTTGAAAACATGGACTTGAACCCGGAATGTTTTGTGTCACCTCGGTGTGCAAAAAAGCACAAGTCTAAACAGGTACTGCTAATCTGGCTGGGGTGATTATTTGCAGTACATTCTGTATTTTCTGAAATAGAATAGGGAATTAAATTGATTGAGATCATCATCATGAAAAATCAGCTAATGGGGAAATTTAACTATGAACTGGGTGTCAGATAATATTAAGAAATTATTGTTAATTTTTTAAATATTTACTTATTTGACTGCATTGGGTCTTAGTTGCAGCATGAGGGGCCTTCATTGTGGCGTGTGGGCTTCTCTCTAATTGCAACACACAGACTCTAGAGCATGCAGGCTCAGTCGCTGTAGCACACAGGTTTAGTTGCTCTGTGGTATGTGAGATCTAAGTTCCTTGACCAGATATTGAACCCATGTTCCCTGCATTGGAGGGTAGATTCTTAATCACTGGGCCAACAGGGAAGTCCCAAATTATTGTTGATAGCAATGACTGCACTGCTAACTGCACATGGCAATATTCCCAGAATAAAAGTTCTAAAAGAATGATTTAGTCCCCACAAATTAAATGAGAGTGGGTTGAAAGTTACACAGTAAACTGATTCGAGTAGAACCATTGTCCATGGAGACTCCACAGACCCCAGACAAAAAGCAAGCCTACATATTACCTGATCATCCTGCTTCTCCCCAGTGATTTGTATGTATTATAGAAAAAGAGAGAGAGTGAATGAATGAGTGAATGAATGGAAAGGAATTGGCTTTGTGAAGCTGCAGTTGTGTCTTGTGTTCATTCTTCTCACTGGAGACCTGAAGCCAACAGGATGCTTGCTGTAGAGAGTCAAGTGTCTGCTAAAGGGAATTTGACGTCTCCCGCTTCTGCTTAGCTGGCAGCCTGCATTCTGGAAGCCCACCAGAACGTGGCCCAAATGCCCCTGGTCGAAGCCAAGCTGCGGTTCATCCAGGCATGGCAGTCTCTACCTGAATTTGGCCTCACCTACTACCTTGTCAGGTGATTATAATGCTCACCTGCCTCTTACTTTCTGTTCAATTCTAAGTGGCTTCCTTGGAATCCAGTTTATTCTCATTTGGTCTAGAATATAAAATTCTCTCTCTCTTTTTTTAATTTTAGAATACTGTCTGTTCACAAATGGCCATCACTTTTGGCTGCTCATAACAATCTTCCATACCTCTGTTCAGAGTGCCTACCTGATCTCTCTGCTTCTCCTGTTTGTCCCCTAAGTTTTCAGTTTAGCAGCCTGTGTGATCCTTTTAAGTCAAATCCTGTCAGGCCTCTTCTCACCCCATCTAAAGGCATTCTGTCACACTCAGGGTAAAGGCCAGATCCTTACAGCAACCCGGCAGGACCTTAACTCTGGAATTTCACTTCCTCTCCCCTCATTCATGCTGCCCTGGCCTCCTGGCAGGGAGCCATGCTGGCCTCCTGGCAGGGCTTTGAGCCTGAGGGGGCTGGTGGGGGAAGGAGAGCTCAGGCCTTTGCACTGTGCCCTCCACCTAAGATACTTTTTCTCCAGGTATCCACATAACTCACGCCCTCACAGACACCAGTTCTTTCAATCAAATCTTCCTTCTGGCTAAGATCTCCCTGACACTCTGTTTAAAATTGTAACAACCTCCTCGCCATTATTCCCTGTCTCGCTTCTGTGCTTTATTCTCCTTCATGATCTTATCTGACATGTATATTTCACTTATTCATGACCCTCTCCCCCAACTAGAATATAAGCTCAATGAGGTTAGGAATATTCTGTCTGTCTGTTTAGGTCGCTGTGCCTAAGCAGTGCCTAGAAGTGTGCCTGGCATACACAGTTGGTACTAATTTGAACTAATTGACTTGACTACCTCTTATTTTGCTTTCCTCTGATGTCAATTTCATTTAAATAATGTCAGCGGGACATCCTAATTCTCTCCAGCCTTCATATTCTCTCTATCACAATAATAATGCCCTTTGCAGAAAGTTAATCCCTCATTGTCTACTCTTCAGAAATGTTTTAGAAATGTTGGTATTATTTTTAAGAAGTTGTGTGTGAATAAACATCATGTCACAGGAAGCAGTTACATCTTTTAATTAAATTTTTTCAGATTTAAAGGAAGCAAAAAAGATGACATTCTGGGAATTTCATATAATAGGTTGATTAGAATTGATGCAGCCACTGGGATCCCAATTACAACATGGAGATTTACAAATATGAAACAGTGGAATGTAAACTGGGAAATCCGGCAGGTAAAGTGAAAGTCTGGGTATATTCAGTGTTGAACCTATTAAACCTGTGTTCCCTCAGAACTGCAGCTTATTCTGATTTTCAGAAGGTATTCTTATACCTAGAATTTAGAGACCACAAGCATGTGGTAATTCTCTGCTAAAATAATTACATGCAGTTCTAAGCAGTTCCCTAACAAGTATAGGCCGAATGCTTTTGAATTAACATAAGTTGGCTTGGTCTCCATACGGACAGACTCTAAAATTGTGGAGTAGTTTAATCTCCTTCAACTCATGTATGATTATATAAGATTTAGGTTGATAACTACTTAGCAGAGGCCACCTGAGATGTATGTATCATACAGAATAAATCCAAAACAGGCCTCATCTGACTGACTGCCAAGAGGTATAACTGGTTGAGGACGCCCAGGCTCAACTGCCCACGTGGAGATCATTCTAGTCCCAAAGAGGAAAAGTACCAAAGCCAGCACGGTACACAGGGGTGACGAGAAAATTCAGCCTCTGACTTCAGGAACCATCAGCTCCTATCATCTCTGCCCTAGGAACCAGGCCAGAGCTACATCGCAGGCTGAGTCAGAGACACCTGAGTGTCCTGATGATTTAAAGCATTCTTCTGATGATGATAGAGGATCTTTTCCTCATTCCTTTGACATTCCCATTTTTCCAGTAGAAGGCTGTCAATGTAGAGGGAGGTTAAGTGACTCACATTTTTTTAAGAACCATGGATTCCTCTCAGCACAGCTGTTGACAGTCTTAACTCTTTTGTAGAATGAAGGTCTGAGATTAGACAGCCTCTAAGGAGTGGCTTGAAAGCCTTGCTATATCCTCAAGGCCATATAAATCCACCTCTGGGAAATGGAAATCAAAACTACAATGAGGTACCACCTCACACCAGTCAGAAAAATCAGCAAACAATAAATGCTGGAGAGGGTGTGGAGAAAAGGGAAACTTCCTACACTGTTGGTGTAAGTTGGTGCAGCCACTCTGGAAAACAGTATGGAGGTTCCTCAGAAAACTGAAAACAAAATTACCATATGATCCAGAAATCCCACGCCTGGGCATATGTACAGACAGAACTCTAATTCAAAAAGATATGTGGACCTCTATGTTTAAAGCAGTACTATTCACAATAGCCAAGACATGGAAACAACCTAAATGTCCAACAACAGATGAATGGATAGAGAAGATGTGGTACATAGATGCAATGGAATACTACTCAGCTGTGAAAAAGAACAGAATGCCATTTGCAGCAAATTGGATGCACCTACAGATTCTCATACTAAGTGAAACAACTCAAAAAGAGAAAGATAAATACCACATGATATCACTTACATAGCTATACCATATGATACAGAATCTAAAATATGATACAAATGAACCTATTTACAAAACAGAAACAGGCTCACAGCCATAGAGAACAGACTGATGTTTGCCACAGGGGAGACAGTTGAGGGAGGGATGGAGTGGGAGGTTGGGTTTAGCAGAGGTAAGCTTTTGTACATAGAATGAATAAACAAGGTCCTGCTGTATAGCACAAAGAACTATATTCAATATCCCATGATAAATCATAATAGCAAAGGCTATTGTAAATATATATATATATATGTATATACATATATATATTTGGTTGGCCAAAAAATTCATTTGGGTTTTTCCAGATGTTACAGAATGAACGAACAGTTTGGCCAACCCTGTGTATATATATCTGAATCACTTTGGTGTACAGCAGAAATTAGCATGGCATTGTAAATCAACTACAATTTTAAAAAATAACCCAACTGTACACCTTAAATAGGTTTGTTTATTATATATCAGTTATACCTCAGTAACACCATTTGGAAAAAAAATCCAACTCTGGGAATTGCCGAGGTCAGTGACTTTTTTTTAAGGTTTTTAAAATAACATTTCTTAAAAGTCATCATGTGCGTAATAGGAAACCAAAAAACACAAGAGGCAAAATACAAAGTCATCCATAATCACAAGCAGTTTACCATTTGATGTGTCATTCTAGGTTTCATTTGTGTATCTATAAATCTAAGCATCTATTTTTATATAATTAAGATCATACAGTTACATATCATGCTTTTTCACACAACATGAATATTTACCATTTCAAAGTCCCAAAGCTATATGAGTATTTGACAACCAAGAATACACTATACCAACTCAATCTAGAAGGAAAAAAATGTAGTCCTACCTTTCTTGGGACAAAAATGTCAAAAAAGTAAAAAATGGCAACAGACCTCTGGATAAAGATGTTGGCAGAGTCATGATTAAAATACTACATTCCCTTAATATTCCATTAAAAATGAGACATGAAGCAAAATAGAAGTATGAACACATCCACATATATCCCTCCATTGATACTTCCTCCTGCCCCTCTGCTGCCAACCTAATGAACAAGTCCTGACGTACATTTCTCAGATGGATTAATAAGTCCATGTCCAAGATGCTACTTTTTTATCAATTATAACAAAGATATTTACAAATTGATTAATTCACTAGCTCTACTTTTTATCATATGTTGTCACCTCAGAACATCTAAAAGGCTTAGATGTTGCAAATAGAGAATGAACTTCGCAAGGATGTTTTGCTTTGTGTACAAGAACATTTCAACATCTATCCATTGTTGTATAAGTTACATGCATTTTAGCTTTACTGTATATTCTTTGTAAATACTCGACAGTATGTCCCAATTTTATAATATCTAGTCTCTAGATATTAAAGAGTAGCCAATGTATGACAAAAGTACAGTTAGTAAACTAACACATTTTGCACACTTTGTGTTAAAATTCATTGAAAGGCCATCTTCTGAAAGGGACCTTTGGAAGTGAAATTGTAAGTCACATCTACGTGACACATGTGCCCGTACTTGCCCACTGTTGAATGGATAATGGAAAGAAGAAACTGGGAGAAATAAAGCATCCTGGATTAAAATGTTTCTATGTAGATCATCAATTCTTAAAGGTCCTCAGCTGATTCCAGTGGGCAGCCAAGATAGAGAACCTATGAAGCTTCAATTTCCTCTACTGTAGAGTTTATGACTTCCAGCTGGGAAGGACTGAGGGCTGTGGCCATAGAGAAATTCATGTGAGCCCTTTCTTCTCCACTCAAAACTCTGCAAAGCATCCTCTCACTCCACACACAGAGTGTTTAGACAGTTCTTTTATCTGAAGAGAGACAGACAGGAAATATCTTTGCATTAGGTCATAGTGTTTTACCAGGTGTGTGGCAAAGCGGACACCACAAGAGGGCGCATAGAGAGCAGAAATGATTTTCTGTAAGCTTTGTGGGGTTTTGTGGGGTTTGGGGAAGACTATCTGTCAGCACCTCAGCAGTCCTCAGCTCTGGACCATCTCCAGCCAAGCTGCTTCTTTTCGATCCATCCTTGTCCGTTTTAAGCGTACCTGTGCCTTCCCCTTCCAGGTGGCTATCGAGTTTGACCAGAACGTCTCCATTGCATTCACCTGCCTGAGTGCGGATTGCAAAGTCGTGCATGAGTACATTGGAGGCTACATTTTCCTGTCCACCCGCTCCAAGGACCAGAATGAAACGCTCGATGAGGACCTGTTCCACAAGTTGACCGGCGGCCAGGAGTGAGCAAAGTAGGCCTGCTGGGCCTACACAGAAGGCGGCCTCCCCCGGGCTGGGTCCATGGCACGCAATGTGTGGTATGCTCCAGGCTGACAGCATATATTCCCATGGACACCCAGACCCTCTCCTTATTTCAGACACCCTGCCTAGCACATCCCTCCCCCAACTCTTCCCTCTGTCACCTGTGGTGAAAGGAGCCTCAGTTAACCTCTTGTGTAAAATGTGGGGTGGGAGAGAGCACCATGCTTGGCATTGCTCTAAAGCCCTGCATGTAGCTACAGTTCTGTGACTTGAAGAGCCTTCGCCTACGGGTTGGAAGCTGCCCGTGTGTTTATCTGCTTTGTTGCTAAGTCAAAGGAAAGCCATGTAGCACATGTAGTAAGCAAAAATCTTATTCCCCAAACTCAGATATGAAAAGAAATAGGTCTTTCCTTAACAGAAGTGCTTTTAACTGCCATCTTGTGAAAATGGTAGAGGGAGCCCTGAATATACTTATGTCCTGGGAATTAAGGTCTAGGGTATAGGCCTGGGGGAAGGTGGGGTTACCTGGTACCAGCTGGTGACAAGGTGTCAGAGTAGTGGCCCTCGGTGTCATGAGTCCAGAGTGACATCTGCCAAGGTGATCATTGACCCATCTTGTCTTGGACACAGGTTACCGCCCCCACCCCACCGCCACCCCCGCAAGTCCCAGTCCATTCCAGCCACCTTTAAGTCCTTCTAAAGATGTGATAACACATGGGTTCTGGGAATCCTAACGCCTCAAAACTGCTTTCATGTCTCCAAAGCTTCTACTCTGGGCTGGGGCTCAAGAAGATGGGTCCAGTTCTCTCTTTATAAAACCACCTCATGTTTTGAGGCTTCCAGCAAAGTTTCCATCGCAACCAGTCAGGGAGAGAAGAGGAGGACAGCCCATCTCCAAAGCCCACCAAATTTAAGAGCTCTTGGCATCCCTAGAGACTTCCGTCTACTGGGCCTTTGGCTGGTGGGTGGGTGGGGTAGGGAAGCCTTGCTGTAATCACTCTCAACAGTGTTCTCCTAGATCTGTGTCTGTTTACATGACCGTGTGTGCCCAGTTGTGTCCGACTCTTTGTGACCCCATGGACTGTGACCCACCAGGCTCCTCCATCTATGGAATTTTCCTAGGAAGAATACTGGAGCAGGTTGCCATTTCCTGCTCCAGGAGATGACTATATAGCATCACCAACTCAATGAACATGAATTTGACCAATTCTGGGAGACAGTGGAGAACAGAAGAGCCTAGCATGCTACAGTCCATGAGGTCACAAAGGGTCAGACATGACTTAGCAACTGAAGAACAACATATGACTCGTGGCCTTTCCCCTAAAGGCTTTTGGCTTTTGTAAATCAAAAGCTGATAACAAACTTTTTTTTTTCCTCTGCTTTTTGCTTTGTCATCTCTGCCATGAGACATGAACATGGGCCAATTAACAGCTGCCTCAATTGTCATTTTCTGTTTTGGTTTGTCACTGTTGGGATGAGTGAGTTTTAAGAAAGTAAAAAGCCGTACGGGGGATAGAAGGAAATATGAGATGTATTTTGTTATGTTTTTATAAATATTCTTCTGTCACACAAAGGATATGGGTTACAAGGTTAAGGCCGAGACTCCCTTTCCACTTTGAAGTTGTTTTAGGATGCAGACCTCAGGGGGCCTGGCTGGACCTCAGATGCCTGAAGACATCCACTGTTGCTTTATTTTCCAGCAGAGCTATTTGAGAAGACAGATCTTTGCAATTCTGGGGGCCACCTCAAGACAGCCTTGGCTGGGGACTCTTCAGCCCTGAGGCAGAAGTTGTCACTGGAAGTTCCTCTTTCAGCCTCACCTTAGAAGTGAATGTTAGTGAAGAATCTTCAGGCAATACCTGAACTTCTGGAGGCCTAGCTTAAAGATTAATTGTGCCTCAAGCACTTGACTAATCTGGTCCGTGTCATAAAGAACTGAGTTTGAAACATTCTATACAGAAACCAATGCCAGGTGAACTGTGTTGAACTTGGTGGTCATTTCTCTATAGTCCTGGGCCCCCATTATTTTAGAACCTAACTGGGCCCTACATTAAAACAGTACTCCTTGATGTCACAGTTTACCTGTCTACTGTCAAATACAGCTCTGTCTAATTTACCAAAGCTAGACCTTTGGTTCAGCTCTTCCTCAGCTTTTCCTAGTTGTCTGATATTTCCATGTAAACACTCAAAAGAGTTGACTGGTTTTAACCAGACTTTTAAGGGAGCATTTCTTCCATAACTACACAGCAACATCCCAGAGGAAAAAGCAAGTATGACAAGAAAATCATAAACACTGCTATTCTAAAGAGCAACTTATGGATTTTTTACATTGGGTGCAAAGGTCACCTGACTTCCTATGATGAAATTTGAAATTAATGTGTGGCTTTCAACCTTGTTTGCTTTCTTATCTATGGTACATGGGGAAATCTGCATTTTTTTTTTTTGTTATTTTATATGACTTTTTAAAAGTTTTCTACAGATTTGAATATGGTCTAGTTGTGTCATCTCCAGTCTATTGACTCTAAAAAGGTGAATATTTTCTCTACTTTGAAAGAGAAGTGCAACTTTCAGGTTTAACATATGCTTTTGCTCACGATTCCAAGATTTGAGCATATTCTCTGCAGTGAGATTGACTTAGAAACATTACTTAATCTTCAACTTCTTTTTTGAAACCAATTGATCATCACCAGATTTTCTGACATATAGTGAGCTTTTGTTATCCAGGTCTACCTTTTGGAAAAAGTACCATAGAGCAAAAATAACCAGAGGCATCAGAAGGCCTCTAATATATGGTCACATGTCAAGGGCACCGAAGAAGGCAATGGCACCCCACTCCAGTACTCTTGCCTGGAAAATCCCATGGACAGAGGAGCCTGGTAGGCTGCAGTCCATGGGATCGCTAAGAGTCGGACACAACTGAACGACTTCACTTTCATTTTTCACTTTCATGCATTGGAGAAGGAAATGGCAACCCACTCCAGAATTCTTGTCTTGCCAGAATCCCAGGGACGGGGAAGCCTAGTGGGCTGCCATCTATGGGGTCACACAGAGTCGGACATGACTGAAGTGACTTAGCACCAGTAGTCAAGGGCACATCTTTCATTTAGATGGTCCATAAGGATTAAGGATGTGGAGTTTGTAGACATCCTTTCATGCAGTTCTTTTTTTTTAACTGCAGTTGATTTGCAATACTGTACTAGTTTCAGGTGCAGATTCTTTTCCATTGTAAGTATTACAAGATATTGAGTATGGTTTCAGGTACACCCTTTGTGCAACTCTCACATCAATCCATACGGGGCAGGAACGACTTGCCTTCTCGTTTCACAAAGGAGAAACCAGGCTCAGAAGATAAAGGAACTTGCCCAAGGTCACACCAAGAGTAAGCAATGGAACAAGATTGAGAGGCAGTTCTTAACTGCAGAGACCATTGAGCTTAGCCCAGCAAACCCCCCAAGACCTGCTCAGCATTGAAATGCCTACCCCAACCCCAGCCCCAATTCAGGCCTCTCCTGAGTTCAGTGTCCCCATTTCACACACTGGTGGGGGAGGGCCAGGGAAGCTAGAGGATTGGTTGCCTCTGAGGAGCTGGAAAGGTGCAGGGGTATCAGAAAAGTCTGGGAGCCAGAAAAGTGAGTTGCCTGACAAGTATTTTGATTCTGGGAAAGTTTCATTTTCAGTCCCAAGGTCAAAAAAGTAAGCAGCTGAGTCTCTCATTTGAAAACTCATCTTTGAGTTGCAAGCATTAGAAGCAAGACATCCTGAAAATGCTTAAAATATTTAAACAACTTTTTTTAATTCACTTGTAAGTAAAGACTGTTTTTTCACTTTAGTACATTCAGCAAAGAGTGAAACAGAAAAGGAGGCTCCTTTCCACCCCTCCAACCTCCCTGAGAGATTCCAGGGTAACAGGAGGAAGAGAAGAGGCAGCAAAATCATGTGAAATAATGAAATATACATGAAATACATTCTTCATTATTTCCCACACAAACACATGATTTTTAAATCACAGGAGGTAGATCATGTGAGATAATGACATATATATGATTTTCATTATTTTACCACACAGCATGTGGTTTCCTGCTTCCTCCTCATCCCTCACTATCACCCCAAAATCTCTCTAGATGGTAGGGGTGGGAGAGACCTGCCTCCTCTTCTTTTTCATCCCCTTCCCCCTCTTTATGCTCCTTTCCTCCAAGAGCCATTGGACCCTGAAAATACTAGAAAAGCTGACAGTCTGCACGTGGCCCTTCCTTATATTCAAGTTTCCCCATCCCCTTTCTCAATAGCGGGTTCATCCCTGAAGCCAAGGGGAAATATTGAGCCCCAGCAAAGAGAACAAAACCAGCCTGTGGGTTCTCCCTCCTTACAAATGTCTGCACTGCCTTGAACTCCTGCTGGCCTTGGGGTGATGGACTCTCAGATTTCTTCAGAGCGGAAATCTTCTGAGTGAAAGGTCAGATTCCAATAAGCCACCCTGGAGCCCAGAGCTCCCAGAAGCCACTTCACATGTCACTAGGTCAGAAGATTTAGAGAGAGCCTCCAGGAGCCTCCCCACATTTGCCCAGACATCCGTGTTGCATGAAGACCCAGTTCCCTCAGAGCAGCCCTTCTGAACACATGTAAACAGAATGGGAATGTGAGGTTTCTCTTCAGATTTGCTCATGCTCCTCACGAACAACTGTCAAAAGAGATTTTCAGCTAAATGAATTTCCTTCCTTCTGACTCTCCGCTGTGTGACCTTGCCGGCCTCGGTTTCTCCAGTCGTTACAGAGGGAAAATCCCACAGTCCCTCCTTTACAGGGGACCTCAAATGACAGTGCTGTCCAGGACCCAGCAGAATGTTGTTTCTCTCCTGCTCCCATGAAAGTTGGGAGGCAAGCCTCTGGCTGCTCTCTGAGATCCCCAGAGGCAGAAATGTGCCAGGGGAGGGGGAGAGACCTTTGTGAGGGGACCCAGGGCCTCAGGGGAGAGCAGGGTCGAAAGCCCCAAGCCTGTGTTCTTGTTGGCCCCAAATAGGGCCCATAACAGCGAAGCAAGGATGGCAAATGAGGTTCCAGAAGGGGGAAAGAATTTTATGTCTTTGAGAAAAGAGGGGATGGAGAATGCAACAGAGCCTGGGGGCCGGGGCCCCACACATAGAGGTTGGTGGTGGAGTGGCTGGTTTGAGCATCTGCCTTATAAAGGAAGCCCTGACTTGTGCCCACTGTGACTATTGGGAGAGAACAAGGATGCTCTTTCAGGCAACATAGTGGAGAGTGGGAAAGCCAGTGCTGAAATAGTGAAGTGCTCCAGGAACAGGTGAGGCTTAGGGATGGAGGTCTGATGAGGGGCTTACAAAGGGGCTCTCGATACCTGCAGAGTTCCCCAAAAATCAGTATTAGCAGCCAGGTCAGTCCACATAACCAGCATTAAAAACAGCAGAATCAGTGTTTCTTTTCTAGGACTTAGCCCACACACACAGCTTCAAAATGGAAAAGCACGCTCTTTGCTATTGAGGGTCAGATACCGAGCATTAAACCCACATACATTGCAGCTTGTGTTCATAAGTGCTAAGTCACTTCAGTTGTGTCCAACTGTGCAACCCCATGTACTGTAGCCTGCCAGACTCCCCTGTCCGTGGGGATTCTCCAGGCAAGAATACTGATGAAAGTGTATTGTTGGATCCACAGCATTGGTTAGAGATACCAAATCCACAGGGCCGGGAACAGGGTGAAGCAAGCAAGTCACCCAGGGCACATTTAAGGAGGTACTCACCACCAGGGCCTCCTTATCTCATCCTTGTCCCAGCTCCGAGGCCCACCCTGACCTCCTGAATTTTAACAAGACCTTCAAGTGATACGTGTACACAGCAAAGTCTGAGAAGCTCTGGCCTAAGACACATGGCATGGATTTGGTGGAGAGGACATCAAACACTGAGGAATTATGAACACAAATACCATAAAACCTGATTGCCAGGGTATGGGTTGACTAGTTTTCCCCCAAAACTCCATGTTTACCCAGAACCAGTGAATGTAACCTTAATTGGAAATAAAGTCTTTGAAGATGTAATCAGGTTAGGATGAGGTGTTCTAAATTAGTGTGGCCCCTAAATCCAGTATGACTGGGTGCTTTATAAGAAGAGAAGAGCCAGACAGAGACAGGGAGAAAGAAGGCCCTGTGATGACTGAGGCAGAGATTAGAGTGGTGTAGCTGCAAGCCAGAACTTCTCAGGTGACACTAGTGGTAAAGAAGCCACTTACCAGTGTAGGAGACATAAGAGATGCAGGTTTGATCCCTGGGTTGGGAATGGCAACCCACTTCAATATTCTTCCCTGGAGAATCCCGTGGACAGAGGAGCCTGGCAGTCCGTAGGGTCGCAGAGAGTTGGACATGACTGAAGCAACTTATCACGCACGCACACATGCAACTGCAAGTCAAGGACTGCTGGCAACCACAAGAGCAAGAACACATTATTCCCAAGACCCTTCAGAGAGATCACAGTCCAGCTGACATCTTAATTTTAGACATTTAGATTCCAGAACTGCAAAAGAACAAATTTCTATTTGAAGCCATTTTATGGCAGTTCTAGGAAAATAATGTAGCCAGAATTTTCACATCTTTAAAAATGGGGGTGCTGCTTTCCCCACCATATCACTGGGTTACTGGAAAGAATATATGATAGAATGACTGCAAAGATGTTTCAAAAACTATAAAACACAGAGATTTCCCTGGTGGTCCACTGTCTAAGATTCTGTATTCCCAGCTCAGAAGGCCAGGGTTCAATCCCTGGTCAGGGAACTAGATCCCACATGCATCAGCTAAAGATCCCACATGCCACAACTAGGACCTGGTGAAGCCAAATAAATAAATATTAATGAAAAAACTATAAAATGCAATTCAAAGATAAAACATTTTTTTATATTTTTAAATCTTTATTTTTTGGTCATGCCGTGTGGCATATGGGATCTTAGTTCCCTGACCAGGGATCAAACCCTCAGCCCCTGCATTGGGATTGCAGAGACTTAACCACTGGACCCTGAGGGAAGTTCCAACATTATTATTTCTAACGAGAACATACTTTCAGTTATAA